CCTAAAATCCAGAGATTTTTATACACTTAGTTGAAACTTAATACAAGAGAATTTTAATACAACCATAGTCCCTCTTAAAAATCGAGTCTAATTGCCACATTTTAGTCAATAGTGCTATAACTATTATATTTGAAATATTTTAAAGAGTTATACAAAAATCCCCAAATTATTGCTTTAGTCAGAAAATCATTTAATACTCATTGACCATAATGGTGTTATATAAATGCCCTGGTCACACAACTACTATGGTGGAAAAACTATGCTGGGGTAGATTTCTGTCTTGAAAGTTATCCTTCCTTCATTATGTAAGGCTATAATAATGCTGTTTCACAAGCTAAAATGTCCAGAAAGAGGGAAATAATTTTTAATTGAATAGCTGCTAAATAGAAATCTAATAAATTTTAAATTAATAATATTGTGCAGAAAAGCATCAACAGGCAGAAAGATGAAAAGAAAGTAAAAGACTGTTCATGCTTGTGAAACCCAAGTTAGCTTTCTAGGGACCCCTGTACAACTTGAAAATATATTTTTGAAGTAGAAGAATGAACATAAAAAGTAGGAATGTTGCTAGTTTTGTACCTAATAATTTAACTGCCCTGCTCACCTGGGGTTGAAAGGTGGACTGATTATTATTTGTGCTTATCTCTCCCAGTTCTCAAAACCTTGCTGAAATAAGGGCAGAGACTGTGTCTGGCATATTGCTAGACAGAGGGACGATGCAGGTGGGCATGGTGACAGCAGAGGGTGAGGTATCACAATGACATCTTGGAAGATGGAAAAGAGGAGCAAAGTAGTGACAAGTCATCAGAGCACAAATCCCACACAGTGTCTGAGAAGAATAAGGTCAAAATCAGTCATTCACCCTGCAGAACCAGAGCAAAGTGAACTGCTTCAGCCACAGGGACTAAGACCCAGGTCCCCTCAAGCACCATACAGTGCCCTTGGACACCATGAAGAAACAGATTCATTGTCCACAGAACCAGAGTCACTGAGACACCAAGCAGCATAAGGCTAGGTCAAGGGAACTCAGTGAAAATGCAAATCACATGTGGTTCCCTGAGCCCTGCAATCCACACGGTTCCCACAATGACAGCAGACAGTTGCATCCCTCAGTACCAGACCAGACCCTGGAGCAAAGCTTAGACACCAAAGAAATTTCCATCGTGCCACACAAGTCTCTCAGGTGATGGCCTTGACTAGAACACACAGCACTTCGTACCCTTCCTGAAATAGTAAAGGCTGCTGAACCAGAGAGGTAAGGAAAACACAGAACAGAAAAAAGAGGTGAAACTAAGCGAGGCAGTGAAAGAAATGAACCCATAAAACACAGAAATTATTCAGGTTTGACATAGGAAAAAAATCTATATTATACTGAGAGGGAGGTAAAGCTAGATTCCATGGGAATGGAACAAAAAAACAACATGGAATATTTGGGGAGTAAAACATGATTTAAATATCAAATTCTGGGGCTGGAGAGATAGCTCAGTAGTTAAGAGCACAGTCCCTGTGGCTGAAACGGTTTGCAGAGGACATGGGTTTAGTTCCCAGCACCTGTATGGTAACTCACAAGCATCTGTAACTGCAGTTCCAGGGGATTTGATGCCCTCTTTTGGCCTCTGTGGGCACTGCAAGCATGTGGTACACATACATACATGTAGGCAAAACATTCATACACATAAAATAGAAATAAATAAATCTTAAAAAATCAAATGCTCAATGAAATGCCTGAAAAATTAATTTTAAGAAATAACTAGTACAAAAAGATACACAAAGACATAAACAAAGAATTCCTCATCGAGTTAGGAGATCGCTATCCAAACTATATCTAAGTTGCACAGGAATTCTAGAAAGCAGAACCAAGAGAGCAGCAGAGAAAAGGATAGTAGAGGAATTGTGTAAGACAAGTTCCAGAACTGAAGTTTGTCTCCAGATTGCAGAGCACATCTGATTTCAGCTATAATGAATAAAAAGGCCCATCCGACACTGTGAATAATGGGGAAACATCTTGGAAGTTTCCAGAAAGATATAATTGTTCATGTGTCCAGCAATCAAGTTAGAATAGCACTGGAGTATCTAACAGCAAAATGGGCCACAAGAAGAATAAAGGCATGTCTGCAACACTTGGAAGGTTGGGTATTGGTGGTATATGCTGTAGCCCCCGTACTCAAGAAGTTAATGCAGGAGGACGGCATAGGAGCTAACAGAAATATTCAGAGCAATGGCTGTGCACCGGACCTAAAGTGAAACTCAATTCATACTGTAGAAGTGAGCTACAGGGATGGGGTATCCAGGAAAACAGAACTGAAAGTTGTCATGCTTGACCATGGAGATACAGTACAGGCAGAGGTTTATAATCCTCATGGGAGACATGAGAAGAAATAAGCTAGGTACATAGAAAACTAGAAACAAACAAACAATAAAAATATTAGCTCTAAGGAAAACAAAAACTCCTATGAGAAAAGAAAGGTAATTAGCACTAAGCAATAAACATACATGTAAACACTGAATGTTGACTTAACCTCCAATTAAACTATCACAGTGAAAATCAAAATCCATAGGGAAATGCTATGAAAACAATAATTAAAAGTGCTCTTTTTTGGAGACATAGAACTAGGAGCTGCAAAAAGGTGGATCTATAAATTGATCTTCATAGACATTTTAATGTTATTTTATTTTTTAAACTATTTTGATGTGTGAAATTAAAGTATAAATATAAAGACTAAGTTTAGAAGGTAATCAAGCTATACAAAAGAAAAAATTAAAATCAGTATATGTAAATGTAGCCAAAGCAGATGACTACAACTAATTAAGAAAATAATATACAAAGTTAGCTACTATCCAGAAAAATATGGTGGTCTCAATGGCTATGTCAAAAGAATTCAATGCACTCTTTCTGTGATGTATAAACACATTCACATAATTTGCTATGATGTTCAAAATCACAATTTGTAATAAAACTTATAAATTTGAATAACTAGGTAATAAATTGTAAAAATTCATAAATAATAACATATTAAATTTATAAGTAAAAAGTTTATGATAAACAAAACCTTGGTTAATTTCAAATGATTAAACACATGTTCACCCAAAAAGATGAAGATTCACAATCACTGGTCTCATTACTTATTTCACAATTCACTGGCTTGGAAGTATTTCTGAATAACTACATTGAAGGTTATCTATGGAGTTTCTATTTTAAGTTGCTTTTATTTTTTAACTAGTATAGTATGTTCTACTTTTAAATCCCGGCCAGGAAATCTTAACACTGGTTTAATGAATGGCTGTGGTATGTGTGCATCTGGAATGGCCTTTACAAATGATTAAGTCTGGAATGGCCTTTACAAGTGATTAAATTCTTCTAAATACATGTGACTCCACTTCAGACATCATATGTCACACCTCAGAAAGCATTTATAGCTGTTGCCATCAAAATGGGTGCCTAAACCAATCTACTTGGGGAGGGATGACAGGAAAAATATGAACACCTCCACCTGTAGCTTTCAGTGCATCCCCTTTTCATCCATTTCTGAAGAATCTGCTATGTTGTAGAACTTCTTTATACAGGAATACATGGTTAAGCCCAGAGATTTTAGAAATATTCTCAAAGCGCTTTTACTGTGGGGCTGTCAGGGTCAAACCACACATCTAGAGGAGGAAGGCCTCCACTCTTGCAACCAGTAAGACACTGACCATCCAATACAAGATGCACAAATGTTCACAAGTGAAGACAAAGTTAACATATCACCCTAAACTAAAAAGGAATTATCACTAAGAATTAGAAAACTGTGGGACTGAAAATAAACCTTATAATTTATAAATGTTTATGCACTTTTACACCTTCCTGCTACGGGTGAAAATACTGAAAACGAGTGTTTGCTGAAGTATACAAATGCTGGGACTTATAGCCCTCGACAGGTACACTGTCACATGCTCACACTGTAATAAGATGGTTCAAACCTCACATGGTGATCGTCAAAGCTTCTGTTTATAACGTAACTTTCTTCAGAAAGAAAACAACTTGTAAGCCATTGATTTACGAATCAGACACTGAAGCACCCAGAGAGTACTGTGTTCTCTCAGTCACTCGAACAGTATTGCAACTATCCAATATGCTAGACTCTATGCTCTCATGGATGTGAGGAACAACTGAAATTTAACAAAATCACTTTGTTTCTTTTTGCTGCTTTTTGTTTGTTTTTTGAGATAGGATCTCAAGTAGTCTAGGCTAGCATCAAATTATAAGGTAGCTGAAGCTGGCCTTGAATGCTATATTTACCTGCCTCTACTTTCCAAGGACTGGTATTAACAGGTATGCATGGGGCTGGAGAGATAGCTCAGCGGTTAAGAGCCTGAGACTGAGCCACTGGCTGCTCTTGCAGAGGACCCAGGTTTGGTTCTCAGCAATCACATGGCAGTTCATAACTGTCCATAACTCCAGTTCCAGAGGATATATGCCTTCTTCTGGCCTCCACAGGCATCGTACGCACATGGTGCACCTACACGCAGCCAAGATTCATGAGTCTTATGCCTTCATGCGTGTGGGTGCACCCATGTCATGCATTGCCCGAGGAGGACATAAGAAGGCATTGGAGTCCCTGGAACTGGAGTTGCAGATGGTTTTTAGCCACCATGTGGGTGCTGGAATTCAAACCCGGGTCTTCTGCAAAAACAGTCAGTGCTCTTAACCGCTGAGCAGTCTCTCCAGCCCTCATACACATAAAATTTTAAAAATAAAATTTTTAAAAGTTAAAAAATAGCTGTGCACTAACATACCCAGCTTAAAATTTAATAAAATCCAAACCATCCTTTTCTCAATCACACACTCCACTTCCTCAAAGGCCCTATGTGGCCAGCACCTACTACATTAGACAGCTCAGACAGAACATGTCCATCCATGCCAAGAGCTCTCCTGAAAACACTCTACTGCTCTGCAAATAAGATTCTACTGTGGACCAATATTCAAATATTCTTAGTTGAAATGTTAAGATTTTTATACTTACTGACTGTTACTTTGTCCTTATCTCCCAACATAATGTTGTTTGGTGTCAGATCTCTGTGGACAATTCTTTTCTCCTTGTGTAAGTACCGAAGAGCTAAGCATAGCTTGAAATAAGAATTGAAGAAAATTTTTATTTCCCCACTTTATATATAACCAATGATCCATCTCTAAGAAATCAAATCAGAACTTTGCTGTATTACAAAAATTTTAATGAAGAGCATACCTGTATAAATATTTTCCATAGTCTTTCTTCAGTGAAATGGTGCTGTTTTTCCTTCAAAGAACTAAAGTGTTCTCCAAGTGGGGCTCCTTCTATCAGCTCCATAACTATATACAACCTGTCGTCTATGTAAAAATACAAAGCAGGTCACAAAACTTAAGTTCAATGCAGAATCTTGAAAAAGTTTGCAAATTAGAACCCAAGCTTCCCAAAGGGTGTGCAGAGCACACCACTAAAGAATTACATAGGATCCACCAAGCTGTGGGAGAGCTCAGAGGGAATCACAGCCCAACAGCAACTTCTTCTGGCTCTAGGCACTCTCCACATAAGTTTACACTGCATTATTATTTTCTACATACACCATGACAAATGTCAGGGAGAGGCCAAAGAGAAGAAGCCAAGAGGCCGAGTCACACCTCAAAGAACATGGAAGCCTGCCTTGCCTCTTGGTACCTTCAGATCAAATCAGACATTTAGAAAAGTGCATTTCTTACAGTCTCATAGACTCCTTCATAGAAAGTGACTACTGCAGCATGACATGATGTTGCAATGACACACGTTAAACACACCCATGGGAGAAACAGTTGTTAGGCCCTACGTAAGCAAAGAAATCTGGACTTCTGGTTCTGTCTTATGAATATAAAGATTTCATCAACTAATGCTGCTTCCTTCCTTGGTTTGGATACCAATAAACAAAGATGTAAACTCCATTTCCTCCTCCAAAGTCAATACGAAATATTAACAGTGGTATGCAATACATATCTGTCATGACTGTTGAATGTACACAAAATATACACATGCACAATTATTTGTAAAGAATAGAATCCTCCTATGCATGCCCTACAACTTATGCCTTTCATACCTTTTCCATTACACAATCTTACATTCCAGCATGCACAGAAGCATGCATTCTCTCTTCTGGTTTTCATGGTAATTTTAATATGGATAAATCACAAGTCATTTAATCATTCTCCTGCTCACAAACATTTATGCCCACATTTTTCATAATTCCAATAAATATGTATTGTTTGCACTTTCCTATAGATTTAGTTTCATTTTTTCACATAATACCCTTTATTATAATTTATGACCTATTACATAATATTTTACATATTTTAGATTTTCTCTAATTCATTTTTGGAAGCTGTTAGGTTGAAAAAGTGTTTTGTTTTTGTAATAAGATATCTCTTCAGTATATGTCAGAAGTAATTCTGATCACTATTTAATTATAGGAAATTATCCAAATACCAAGAACTAATGGCTAAGGAGGCAGAAGCCCCTCCAAGTCATCTGGGGAAGGGAGGCAGGTGAAATCATAACAACTGTGGCACAGGAAGGGTTCTTTGTTAATGACAGCACTGGTAATGAAATGAAAAGCAAGCCCCAACAGCTACTACCTTGCATTTCTATAAATCTGCTTTTGCAACAAAATTTACTTGGAAATTTTATGTGTCACAGATCATTAAGTTTCAATACTTATTTCACTCACTTTAAAAAAAGTAACTGAGTTTGAGTTTGTATAACAAACATAATTTCTTACTATATGCTAAATATGGATCCTTATATTTACAGACAAGTCTGCCCATCACCACTCATCAAAGAAGCTTCCTTTGCAACAGACAGAGACTGCTACATAGTTCTACAAGTGGTGACACACATAGAATGATGAGAGAGATGCCCAGCCCGAAGTGATACACCTACAATGGAACCTCTACACATAAGTCTTATGAAACATAGTGGAGTAAAGGGAGTACTAATGCATCTCCAACTGTTATCAAGGAAGCATCCTCATGCAACAGAGGGTGATGCAGACAAAAGGCAGCAACTGGCCAACATGTACAGAAATAAGAGACTGCAAAGTGTGGGTCCCTGGATAGGACTCCTATATCAAACTTCACCCACCCAGGGCTCAAGGATCATTGGAGAAGAGGGCGTAGAAAAATTGTATGAGCCAGGGGAGCAGGTGCATGACCTTACAGGCTCCTGGGATCTTGCTCATACAAACTTACAGCAATGGTGACAACATGCACGAGACCCATGCAAACTCAATCAGACAAAAAACAGCATAGAACTGGGAAAATGGGCCACAGTCTTGTTGAGGAACTATTGGCAGCTGATCACTGCTAGGTGAGGGAGAGTTGATCTTCTTTAAGGGAGTGATGTTAGACAGGCTCAACAGGCTCCAGTGGATGAACTCACACCTAGGGACATTTGGGTACACAAACTTGACTTGATAGGCTTTAATATATATGATAAAATGCATGAAATCCTGTAGACAGGCTATGGGGAAGCGGGGGCTAAATATTATTAAGATATATTATATGAAATCCACAAAAATTCAATTAAAAAAAAGTTTTGACTGAGTTCTCTATTCCACTGGCAGGAATCTAGCCTGCCCTTCAGCCTGCCTGCAGGATCAGCCAGGGCTCCATCGCCACCTGGTGGCATTTACTGAAATTCACGAAGAAATCTGGAAGGCCTAGTCCACTCCAGCTTATCTGGAAGTGGAAAATGTCACTTGATTCAACACAAACTGCAATGAATTTGGCAAAAAGATATGATCATCCTTTAGTTCTCCTTTTTCCTGATTCTATCAAGCACGTTTATTGTACAATAATTTGCAGCAATAATTATTTTTTGTTTGTATAAACAATGCCTTTATACTGTGAAGATCTAAATATTTTCAGGTCATCAGTTGTAAAATTATTTTGCTTGAGATAATTCACTTTAACAACAAAAATATAAACAAAGTCGAGTATGATGATGTTTGAATTTAATCCCAGCACTCAGGAGGCAGAGGCCAACGGATCTGTGTGAGATAGAGGCCAGTCTGGTCTATAGAGTAAGTTCTAGGTCAGCTGGGCTACAGGGAGACCCTGTCTTAAACAAGCAAACAAACAAACAAAATGTAAATAAAGTAATTGAATGAATTTATTTTCTGACATTCTAATATGAACATAATAAAAAACATTTTCTTACTTAAAAATACAACTCATACTTACTTTCCAAAAATGTTTTATAATAACGTACAACATTGGGATGATAAAGCTGTAAGAAAGTAAATAACAAACAGCTGTCAGACTAGCTCAAAACACAAGCTGTTAAAATGAAATTTAGTTACATTTCATAAACTATACTTATTTATAAGACTACAAATTTCAGTATACCATTTTTGATCTTTTTTATCTTTTTTTAAAAACTGTGTTGCTTACAGTTAATCCAAAAAATGCAGTCTCCTATATGCCTTTAGGAACAAGGTTAGAAATTGTTTTATTTCCTAATTTAACTAAAATAGAGAATTACAGAACTAGATGTTTCTTTAAGAATTCATTCAGTATGCTCAATGTAGGGCCTCAGCTACATATGCAGACCCTGTCTCAAAACAACAACAACAACAACAACAACAACAAAATTCCTCTAAAACTTTTACAAAAATTTATTTATATGCAGTTTCTGGGTAAATCATCTCATCTCAGAAGAGTCATCACTAGATGTGTAAGTGGTTCGTACTTTCTGTGTGCCCCTCTGAGTTGTGGACTGTGAGCTGTCCACAGAAATCCAGTAGCCTCATGTCCACATGGCAGCAGAGAAGTAGGTGGATTTGGCATCCAAGGCAGAGGTTACATCTGCCAACCTCTCCTGCAGCCAGGAATGGGTCTGTCCCTCAGCTCTTACCCGTGAGTACAAAAGGAGCCTGCAGATTCTTCATGTGAGCCCTCAACCTTGGGAGTATCCTTCCTGCTCTCCTTCCCACCTGGAGCAGGAACATATCCCCAGGAGATGCATGGAGTAGAGAATACCACCAATTTGCTCCATTCTCTTCAGATTATTACATGTAAACCCGGTATTCCAGAAACCTCTGTATTATTGCATATGAGTCCTAATCTGTTAACAAACAGGCTCCCTCTCTCTCCCTTTCCAACCCTCTTTCTACTGCTTCTTTCTTCCATGGCCTCCTCCTTTTAGGACTCAATGCCATTATCCTTTCAAGTGGGTTAGCTCCAGAGTAAGAGAGCAAGTGTACAATCTAGGGTGAACTCAAGTCCTCACTGACCTCTCCTGGATACTTTTTTTTCTTAGGAAAGCATGAAAACAAATAAGCACTCTGATCAGCTAGCGATCCCAGCTTTCACGCATATGGAGCCAGGCCAACAAACAGAACCATGTTCTAGATCTAGCTCACTGGTAGAGCTATAACCAGCTTGGGTCCAAATGAAAACACTAGCTAGACTCAGCTCAAAGCCGTGTTACAACCAGCCTTGTACTAGAACGATAAGGTAACCTGTGTTGTAGATGGGATGGCTTCTTATGACCTAATCTATTGACATATAAAAGTCAAGTATGACACTATCAGTGATAAAAAATTTTTAATTTAGAAAATGATGTCAAATTGTAGGTTTTGGTGAATTAAGACCATGTTTGTGCTCTTTATGATCCAGCCCAGATGCTGGGCAAATATGACTGCAGAGAACAGAAGACAGTGTGGCTGACAGCTTTCCACTGCTTGAAATGCACAAGGAAGGAAGGCTGGAAAAGAAGCCAGCATGTTCTTGGATCACAAAAAGAAATCTCACTTCTCTTCTGAGATACGTTCTTTTTATTCCCAAATAAACCTTCATAACGACAGTTAACTAAGCTATTGAATCACACCAGAATGTTCTGCTCATGCTAATAAAGACAATCCATCCTTAACATCCACATTTTGGCTGAGTGCCATGGTGTACATATGTAATTGCAGCACTTAGGACATGGTGAAGATTACGAATTCAGGGTCACCCCTGGCTACACAGAAAAGTCTAGACCAGCCTGAACTACAGGAGCCTCTGCCTCAAGGAAACAACAAGAGGGGGGAAAATCTACATATTATTAGATTTAATAAGCCACATTTGAGGGTTGTTAGCAGCTTGACAAAAGTTGAAATCTTCATATCCACTATGCATGTAACTAAGTAACTAAGCACTGGATGTAAACAGAAGGGTTTCTCATACATGGCATGCTCTGAGTCATAAGCCCAATTGTTCTGCATCGAGGGCCTGACGTAAACTCCCCAAAGAGTTTCCATGGCTCAATGGAAAACTTTAGGAAAAACAGTGGTAAAAATATCACTGGCCCAATGTCTAGTATTTCATGCTGAACTGTTTTATTAACTGTGTAGACAAAAACTGCACAAAAATTCAATGTCAATGACATTTATCTAAGAAAGACAACTCAGAAACAAGACAAATGTTTACCTGCTCCTTAATTATTGTTAATTCAGAAACAATATTCTTTACACTGCTGTCTCGATCTTTTCTATCCTTTCCAAATGCTGGGTTATGTAAATTGACCTCTTTCATGGCTAAAGGATTTTGGCCACTACGTTTTCTAACCTAAAATAAGGGAAAATAAATAAAGCAATCTGATGAGAATTGAAAGGGTAAGACAAGAACAGGTTAACTAGACTGACAAGATCACATGGTAAACCAAGTTATAGCATAAAATTCTAGCCTCATTTAACATTAAACTGAGCTAAAATAAGCTGGTATCTTCTGGGGCCCCTTGCAATACTCAATTGGGATTTTATTGTGCAAATACAGAAACACTGGAATAAATTTAGGGAACATGTCATGCACTAGGACAAGCTCTTCTATTTTTCTGTAGCAGGTGGAAGAAGTTCTGTGTTTTAATTAGAGGGCAGCTGCTCAAGCTGAGTTAGGTCAACACCAAAGGATCAATCTCTTTATTTAGTATTTACTTACTTATTTATTTATTTATTTATTTTTTGGTCTTTTTGAGACAGGGTCTCCCTGTAGCCCCAGCTGTCCTAGAACTCACTATGTAGACCAGGCTTGCCTTGAACTTACAGAGATCTGCCTGCTTCTGCCTCCAGAGTGCTGGGATTAAAGGCATGTGCCACCATGCCCAGCCTCATTTTCATTTTTATACCTATTTATTTACTAGTTTTCAATGACACTGGCTCTAATTCAAGTGAGTATGGGCATTCAAATGTAATTTAGAGTTTATTTTGGAATATTAGAAATGTTTCCTGTGGGCAGAATCACCTTATAAACACAGCCAAAAGCTCCACTTCCAAGATGGTCCAAAACTGCATAGTCACCTATATATTTCAAAGGTGCTTTCTTCTGATTAATACTTTCAATATTCTCAGCAATTTGCTTCAGTTCATCTTCCTAATCAAATCATAAAAAGGAAATGCATTGTTATTCTTCTCTGACCACAGAGCAGTCTACCAAAACATTTAAAACTCAAGACTTACCAACAATAAATTCAACTGTGATACCAATTCTTCATAAGCACTGATATCACGAACATAATGTCCTATGTCAATGAAGATCTCAAACAAGTCGGTGGGGAAGAGCCTACAGGGAAGCATACACACTTAACATGGAGGTTGGGAACAGAGGGTCATTGCTTCTCTTCTGGATGCAGCTCATTCACCAACTAATTATATCAAATGTATCTTCATTAGATTAGCAGCAGAGTAGGGAAATAACACGCTCTAGTTTACCTTGCAAATTTACACTGTAGCTGTAGTGTCTGAGGAATAAAAATGAAGAGGAATGTTCAGATCTGCCGAAGGACACTGTGCTGTAGTTAACAGCACGTACACTGTACTATGTGTTGTTCACTGTCGTTACCTGTACTGTACACTTAAATTGGACGGGGGTGGATCTCACATTATATGCCTTTTTAAATTTTAATTTACTTTTATTCATGTATACATGTATGTGTACCAGCTTGTCTGTATGTGTACCACATGCATACCAGTGGCTACAGAGGCTAGAAAAGGGCATCAAATCCCCTGGAACTACAGTTACATGTGGTTGGAAGTCACCTGACATGGATACTGGAAACCAAACTTAGTTTCTCTGGAAAAGCAGCAAGCACTCTTAACCTCTGAGTTACCTCTCCAGCCCAGAATATTATATGATTCTACCACAATAAAAAGTATATCTGACACAGATACACCAAGACTTTGTGATTTATTTGGCAGTATAGATATTAAGCATGTTCAAGGAGAATATTTGTTAGATGTTTAGCAATTGCCCAGCAATTAGAGCCATTTGTCACAGTTCTATTATTAACTCAGATGGCAAATATTAACCTGATATCTAAATGTTTTCTGAAAATAAATTTAAAATCACAAGTAAATGCAAAATGGAGAGAATTATGCTTTCCAAAGTGCTGATTTCAAGGGCTTCTTTAAAATGTTTTAGTTCAAGCCGGGCATGGTGGTACATCCTTTAATCCCAGCACTTGGGAGGCTGAGGCAAGTGGATCTCAGGCTAGCCTGGTCTATGTAGCGAGTTCCAGGCCATTTGGGGCTACAGGAATACCCTGTCTCAAAAAGACAAAAAAAAAAAATTGATTTCACTAAAAGGGATAACTTTGAGCCTTGAAATGAAAGTTTATAATAAATAATTTCATTTCTTTTCCCCTAAATTCAAATATGATAGGAAAATAAACAATACAAAGTGATCCATGCCTTCTGAACAAAGGGTTTGCTATGAGGTCTAGACTTTCCTCAATGATACAATTCTGGTGATGTTGTGGGTCTAGATTTTGGCCAAATGGTGTGCAAACTTCCTGTGCATAATATATCTATTTCTCAAGGTCTGATTTTCTTCAACAATCACAAACTCACCCCCAGCCTGGACCTGGCTTCCACCCTAGCAAGGGCATCCAGGCAAAATGTGTTTTTTTTCTCAGTGATAAGAAAAAATGACCATATAACTTTGGAATTTCTGAGTGAACAAAAATAAGTATCTATTCGATCCCATCCAATCAAGATGTTAATATGTTTAGTTAAAACCAGAGTTTCAGCAGTCCTATGGCTTCTGAGAGGGACTGTACCAGTGCAGTCAGTGGTCGCATAGTCTGTGAGGGAAGTTGTACCAATACAGTCAGCAGTCTCATGGATTCAGTGAAAAGTTGTACCAGTGCAGTCAGTGGTCACCTGGTTTGTGAAAGGAGCTTTAACAGTATAGTCATTAGTGGCATGGCTTGTGAGAGGAGCTGGACCAGTGCAGTCAGAGGTCACCTGGTTTGTGACAGACACCGTCACTTACACTTTTACCACCACTCTGTAATTCATAGTCTTGTGACATGGCTATGGAAGTTCCGTTATACTTTAGCAGTCTAGGAAATCTGGAAGGTCATGGCTTGGACAGAATCTGAATCAGGAGTGCAGAAACACCGTGGCCTAACAAGCTCTTCAGTCTAACCATCACCCACATTTCTCCAAGCTCCTACCTTTTAAAGAGTGGCCTGTTCCTTTCCATACTGAAGAGAAACCTCAGGGCTCTGAAAGCATAACACTAGGAAATAAAAGAAAGCATGACTCTTAAAGGGCAGCTCAACAAGTTAAACCATTTTCGGAATTGAATTACCTGGAAGTAGATGTGAAGCTGGTTTTATTATGAGTTGCTGATCTAAGCTGAAGGCCAATCATAAATGAAAACAGAAAAGCACCAGCCCTTGGATTGTTCTTTTACTTACAGTGGTGATGCTGCAACATGCCTTGTTTATTCTACACTGGTCATTAATTCCTTTCTAAGAAGTACAAAATGAGTGGAGATACCACTCCTCTGCTGAACCCAACCCCCCAGACTTCTAGGAGCTCAGGCTTATTTTGCTTCTAACCTGCAACTTCAATATTCATACCATTTCTGTGATAAAGTAACTACCAGAAACAACTGCACATAAAAACAGCCACAGGCAGGCTGGACTCAAACTTGACAGATTGGTCTCTTGAGTAAAAAGCCTTGAGGTTCTGCAAATGAAACAATCAGCAGTCACTCACCAGAAGGCTTGAAAAGAAGCCTGTGGGCTTCAACCCAGAAAGACAAACTTCTAGGGACAGCAAGATGGCTCAGTAGATAAAGGCACTTGCTGCCAAACCTGATGACCTGAGTTTGATCCCTAGGACTGACATGGTGGAAAAAGAGAACTAAAGCCATAAATTGTGCTCTGACCTCCACACATGCTCAAGGGCATGAGCACCCCACCACATAAACATACACACACACACACACACACACACACACACACACACACACAAATAATAAATAAATAAATACTAAATAATAAGTAAATGCCTCTACATATGTAAATCTGATGTTCTACAGGGGAAAGGAGGAGGGGAATGTGATGGACAGCCTTAGTTGGCAACTTGATACACCTGGGTAAAAGAAATCTTGAGAAATTGTCTCCATTGGATTGGCCTGTGGCCATGTCTGTGGGGCATTTTCTTGATTGCCCACTGTGGACAGTGTCACCCCTGGGTAGGTGGTCTTGTACTGTATAAGAAAGCAGGCTGAGCACAAGCCAGGGGAGCAAGCCATTAAGCAGCGTCTCTCCATGATTTGTGCTTCAGCTCCTGCCTCCAGTTTCCTGCACTGGGTTCCTGTCTTGGCTTCCCTCGGTGATAAACTGTGACCTGGGAGATGTAAGATAGAATAAACCCTTTCCTCCCCAAGTTGGTTTTGGTCACTGTTTTTCTCACAGCAATACAAAATAACTAAGACATAGAGGGAGGAGAGGAGCAGGGGCAAAGGAAGAACCATCCTGCAGGTGTGCCTGTGACACCAATGACCAGTGGAGTGATTGCTGGAATCATTTCATAAAATCAGTGATCTGAAAAGAGAGGCACAAACGAAATTGCCCAGAGAGCCGGGCAGAGAACAGAGGGATATGAGGGAGCCTGGGAATGTGGGTGGAAACAGGAGAGTACAGAGAACTGCTCTCCTTGGAGCCCTTCTAACTGTAGTTTTAAATAACCCTCTCTTGACTTAACAAAGTACATGTTCAGGACAGCTCTGACTGTGTTTTCCAGGGCAGTGTCATACACATGAGATACACTAAAGAAAGCCCAATATTACTGTGTTTTCACTTGTAGCTCTCCAAGACCTCTGCATAGCATCACACAGCACCAAGAAACTGTGAGAAGTTGGCCACTGTGCCAGCGAGATGCATGAGAACTCTTTATAGTGTTTTTACTTTTGAACATTATATATATATATATATATATATATACACATGTATATATCTAAACATAGGAATTATATATAATTATTGGGAAGCATATGATACCTCCATACACATATGCATCATATAAAGTTTAGGCAAAGCTAAACATATCTAGCTCCTCAAACACCGACTTTATCCATTTTATAAATGATTTTGAAAGAAGGATGAGCCGCAGCTCCACAGAGGTGAATTTTGTCATTGTGGTATCTCTGGGGCCATGGTCCCCAATGTCTTCAGGAAAACACAGAGGATCCTATATAAACATACCCCCTCCTGTCTTTAAGACCTGATCTCCTAGGCACTCTGTCCCCAGCAGGCTGCCTAGCCCTAATCTCCAAGCTCTCCAGATTCCACCCTGCTGATGCTGCTCCTTCTGTGGAAAGCCATGATGCCCTGGAGCAAGTGCATCCAGATGTCCTCATCTTCATAAATCCCTTCTCATCTATCAACATCCACTTCACAAGCTTTCTTTTCAAAGGAGAAATGTTGGTGATTATGGTTCATGTTTAAAGATGACAAAAATGCTTCCTCTGCTATTATATTCTCATATATAAGGGAAAGCATATTTATTTTCTTAAAAAGTACAATCAACTGATGAGCAAAGAAACAGTCAAACAAGCCACCCAAGTCTTCCATGCAGAAGAGCTCTGCTGGGCCTTTCATGTTTGGGGTGACTGGTTTCCATACAGACTCCAAGCATAACCCCTTACCATAGGGCCCAGCACTAACCTCGACAATCCTAAACCACTTATTATCTTATCAAAGATTCCCCAGATTTCAACATCCTGAGATTAAAGGACAGCAGGCATGCTTATTACCTGTAGTAGATTTGTTTTTGCTGCATTGTTTTGTTTGTTTGGTAAAATTAATTTTGCTATCGTATATACACCATTTTCCTGGAAAAATAAAGAAGTCATGTATCAGTGACCAGCAGCTAATGCTGTAAGAGGCACAGCATTCAGATGCAGCCAAACAGCCTCATAACAGCTTAAATAGGTACTTATAGGGCAAGGTTAGAAACACCAATGTGATACTGTACTTTAAATACCAAATATAGTGTTCTTACTTTTGAATATATATATATATATATCGTTTATAAACGATCTTAAATTTTCAACTGTCTGTAAAGATTAACGGCTATACAAACTACACAATAATGTTATGTAATGAATGATACAAATTAAGTGATTTAAACAGTTCAAAAACAAGAATAAGAAGGGAGGGAGTCAAACAATTCCAGCATCTTTACATTTTGACTTTTTCTTAGTTCAGTTGGTGGAGTGCTTGCCACACAAGCATGAGGACCCGAGTTCAGACCCCAGAACCAAAGTTAAGAAACAAAAACAAACAAAAAATGCTGAGTGTGGTGGTGCTTACCTGCAAACCTAGTCAATACTGGGAAGGCAGAGACAGGAGGATCCCCAAAGATCACTAGCCAACCAGCCTAGCCAAACCAGCAAGCCCTAGGCCAGTGAAAGACTCAAAACACAAGATGGGCAGGTCCTGAGGAATACTACCTCGAGCCTCCACACACAAGTACATATGCACCCACACATGTTCATGAATACATACATGAAAATACATGCACACACAGTCAAAAAAATTAAATCCCAACTATAAAATGTGGTTTATCCCCTTCCTATTTTTGCTATTTACACAATATATAAAGGACAATCATAGTAAAAAAAAATTTAAAGAAAAAAAAACCCCAAATTTTGCAAGAAGTCAACTGTGTAAACAGCACCTTTCTAGAAATACTTTAGCACTAGTATAAACATGGAGGGAAGAACAAAAACTGTTAGCTACTGCTGCTTCTGCTATCCATGAAATACGTTTGTTGTGGGCATTTTTACCTGCTTTACTGAATCTAATCTTTCTAGCTATCCTGCAGATTACTTTATAGCTATCTATTTTTTCATGAGAAACTAAAACTTAGAGAGGTGAAGCCCTTGGCAGAGGGAGAAAAGCAGCAGTGGGAACAGGAACTCGGCCGACCTGACTCTGCCCCATACCCTGCACACAACTTCTTCAATCACTCTATTGCACGAGGATCTAATCGCATCCTCACATCTATTGGTCTTTCCCTCTGTAAAATTCAACAAGAATGAGGGAATTACCCCAATAGAAACCTAAACCATGGTTGTACACATATGTGTGTATATCTGTTTCATTTATTTACATTTACATATACATATATACTGTATATACAGTTGGTTAATTAATGGTTTGTACTTTGTGAGATAGGTGTATTGGTAATCAGCACTGTATTTAGTGTGTCTCGAGCACCTCTGAATACGCCTCTGTATACTTAGATAAAATGTTTGTAGTCATCAACTCAGAAAATCCAATAAAGAAAATGAAAAGGACTGTAAGTGAAATAGGAAAGAAATATCAACACCAGCCTCATGACAATTCTTTGGAAGTCACAAGTCAAACAAGGAAGAAGAAAAGTGCAAAACAGAATTCTATAAGCTAAATAAGAAATGTCAAAATACTTTAAAATGACATGATAGAGTACTCAAACCAACATGCTGGAATATAAGCTACAACCAAAGAGGGGTTAGCATGATGTTCTTACCTGAACTACCTGGTGGGCGTTGGTGTCATTGAGTGCCAGTTCAGTGAGGGCAGCACAGCATGCTGGAAGGAAAGCAACCAAACCAGGGTTCAGCAGTGCCTAGCACTTATCAGATACTCAGTAAATGCATCACACTGGTGGGTAAACAAAGGACTACTTTAAACACACTCCTAATCCTGAATAGAGTATGTTCTACAACTTCAGAGAGGTTAACAGACCAGGCCACACTGCCAGTCATCAAAGACCAGGAGCCCAACATCAAATCCTAAATCCTAAGCAGTCCCCTTCCCGCTCCTCTGCATCCTCTGGTAGCATTCTGCAGTGAGACACACATCCTTCTGCCTGTACGGAGCCCTGGCCATTGGTGTGCTATACTGAAGACTTCCACACATCACCATATAAGTCTCACAATACCTCCTAGTTGTGAAACCTCAATTATCATCAGTATTTCACATGAACAAAGCTAGAGCCTGGAAAATTGAGGAATGTGGCCAAGACCATATGGCCATCAATACAGGTACTAACTCCTTATCTTTCATATTTAGATGTAAAACAAGTGATGTCAAGTAAACCCATATGAAGTACACAGCTCTCGAAGACTACCTTCATGAACCTAAGCATCATAGGCAACTGAATATGCTGGTATTTCAGGCTCCCAAGACCCCCGTGTCCCTCTGTAGACATTGACAGTCCTGTACCCCCACTTCTGTCACCACCAACTGCATCACTTTGAGAGAGCCCAGACTTCTAGGAGCTCTGAGACCTGCTGATTTGGCCTTTGGAGTCTAGCATGAGCCTATGTGGAAACAGAGTCCTTTCTAGTGCACATAGATGGTCAAGGAAATGGAGACCCTAGTTCTCTGTCCCCACATTTCTGAGGAAATGTCTCTATTCTCAGATGATAGCTGGGAACAGAGCAGGCTTGTCTTCTGTCCATCACCCCTCACTCATACCCTCTGCCACACCGGCTCCCATCTCAGGTTCTCTCCAAGCTCCTGCTGCCCCAATAGTACCCTGTGCCCCTTCCCAGGCTGATGGACAGCCCACCCTGATCAAAAGCACCCATACTGCATGGCAGGTCTACTGGTCCCGAAGGTCAGGTGCCACCTGACAGGTGCAGGCTGGAGGGAGCCCTGCCAAGAGAGAGTTCACTTAGCTAGGTTCTCACTTCCCATGAAAAGCCCATGCAGTCCTCGTCTCTCTCTTTTCCTTGGAACTGACCTGTGGGAGGAGGGGTCTTGCTGCTACATGGTAAAGTGGGATTCTTGCCTTAAATAGGATACCCTAAGATCCAGAAAACCTAGAAAGGGTGATTCTGGTCCCAGATTAAGCTGAGTGCTTTAATCCAGCTTTGCCTGTAATAAGGCCAATGTTCTCTCTTTATTTCTGCCATCTGTTGCATCATTAACTTGTTATCATTTATTGTATCATTAACTTGCATCATTAACCTGTATCAACACCAGTACCTATAAGGTCTGGCATTCACATGGATCTAACTTTACACACTCATAATCCTACAAACTGTTTGTAATCAACACTATTATACTAAAGTTCTAACAAGGAATAACAACATAATGATGTGACCTTGAATAACAAAACCCAGTAATAACACAGATACCTGCTTGGAGAGAGACAGTGTTTTCTTGTATTTCCCCAGGGCTTAAATCTTCTGACAGATGAAGCTGCTGGATTCGGCCTGCAGCATTTGCACTGGACAAGCTTCCAATTGAGGAACGATCCGAAACAAAATTTCTGTCTCTGTAAAAGGAAAGTTACTGCTCAGAAAATTTATTCATTTCCCTTCATGGTCAGTCCTGGAAAAATCATTACCTCAAAGACAATGAAAATGTCATAATGAAACCGATTATTTTATATGCTAAATAAAAGCAGAAATCTTTACTTCCTCCAGGTTATAAAGATTTCTGTGATCTTTATTGTTTCGCTTTCAAACTCAGGAGACGCGAGTTCTGTGTACCATGTAAGCTGTGAGGCCCTGCACAGCCTTATCCAATGGCCCTGCATGGTCCCAGTGGCTCTGCACCACAGTCATCATGCAGGCATCTTGGTCAGGATTCCTGAGTTCTCCTAAGTGAAATCCAATCCTGATGAGTCTTGGGATGGTTCTCTTCGAGCTTTGTTGCCTCTCTTCTGCTCTCCACCCACAGAGATCTCCAGAGTAAGGGGATGGAACCCCATATTTTTCGGCTATTATCAGCCACTTCTCCCTGTTCTTGCTGACATGTCTTCTTTGGTCAACAGTAATTTTTTAAAGCCTGCCTTTTATTTTGCTACTTTTCCAGTCTTCTGATGAGTCTGCTGGACTGTAGGTGCTAGTCAGCCCTTATTTTTCCTCAACACAATCACCTCAACTTCAACTTCAGCTCATAAGTTCAGACTCTGTGTTTAGTTTTCTGTCTACTTGGCACATGGGCTTCCCAACATAAATTCTCTATTATCTGTTCTGTTCCCTTTTGCTTTATGTGGTTTTTGTTGTTTTTTTTAATTTATTTGTTTCTAGTGGCCTTAGCTGTTTGTTCTTCCTTCTGAGAGCTGGGGCAAGGAACAGTTCAGGTGATGGTCTTACCTATGAATAGAGTTATCTTGGAACTCACTGTGGAGAGTGTTGTGCCTGATCAGGAACATGCCTTTCATTCAAAGTTGTGATGAAAACTGTCCTGCAACGCAGCCTGTTCACATTGGAGCTACCAGTCACCAGGCAACTGCTCCCCCAGAACCTGCCCCAGACAACCAAGTACAGGCATAGGCATGAGCAAATAGTATGTTTCCAGCTGGGAATAATCCTTTCAGAGCACTGAGACACATTTAACATCTCCTAAGAGTTGACAAAAGTCACTTTCTCAGAGAAAGGTTTTCTAACACCAGACCATGGGGCAAAAATGACCCTTTAGGGATGAACAAACTTATCCATCAAGGATGCAAAAGTTGTGATGTGAGCAAATGAGGAAAAAGTGTTTTTTGTCATAATTACCTTTAAACAGTGCTTACCTTTATAGAATATCATTTTACCTTTAAGAAAATGGCAACCCTACAAGAATAATAAATAATAACCACATCTATCATCATCCTTCAAAGCCCAAACAAAATTTTTTTGGTAATTATTTGGACTAAGGTGCTGGCCTATTATGCCATAGTGCTAATTCAATATTTCTAACTTATAAAGTAATTGAGGCTTTTGTAAAAGTCAGTAGCCTGTCAGCATCTCTACATTTTTCCCCGTTTCCACAATGACAAAATCATTACTGAAAGGTATTGTTCACGTCTCTGTGTTCCGTTCTTATGCTCTGAGAAGAGAATGTCCAGAAGGAACAATATGTACAAAGTCTTAGTAATACTGATCTGATAATCTCCAGTCATGTTAAAATGAACAAGCTGCTCTGCCTTAGAGTTTAGAACCGGCTTGATGGATAGCCCATATATCATAAGCATAGTGGTCCTTTTTGAACAGATGTACTGATTTGTAGCTCTGATTTGGTACCCAGAGAGCTGAATCATACTTTATAATAACATTAGGTAATAGAAACTTCCCAAAGATGGCCCCAAAATGTATTATTACTCAACAATTCAATATATTTAATTCATAAAATACAGTTATAATACAAAATATGGCAAAAAATCTTTAAACTATTTTAACAAACCATCCCTTCCCATACTCATGGCATAGAATGCTCTGGAATAGTCTACTAATTTTCTTTTAGGTTCTGAGGAAAGATCCCAAAGCCTTTTTAATTTTTTTAAAAAAAATTAATCTTTTTTAAAACAGGGTCTCCCTGTAGCCCCAACTGACCTGGAACTCACTATGTAGTTCTGGCTGACCTGGAACTCTCAAAGATCACCTGCCTCTGCATCCCAAGTACTGAGATTAAAGGTGTGCACCACCACACCTGGCTTCCCAGAGCCTCTTGTATGCCAAGTAAGAGCTCTAGTATTGAGCCCCAATCCAGTCCTGGAATTTTAGTTTTAAAAGGAGGATTGTAATATCTACCTTAGACAAGCACAGTGATGGAGTAGAGAGAAAAACAGAGCAACTGAGTCATAGTACTATGGCAACAATTTGATGCAAGATACTTTCTCTTATTTTTAATTAAACATGAGTTCCCTTAGTGTAGATAGGCTTTGCTTTCTCTTTAAAAGTGTTATATAATACAAACATTTTAGTAAAATGTCAGCAATCACTGTGTTCTTGACATTACAAAGTATCTATACTGATTCAAGAGAGGTGACAAAGGTGCATATTTCCCTTAGGTTACAGACTCCCATCAAGCCCACATCTGTAGATGGAGGGACCTCTGCGTTCCTGGCTCTGTACTGGAGGCTGGTCCTGCAAAGGAAGCCCCAGAGCAGAAGTGAAAGACGTGAGCATGACATCACAGAGTCCTAGCTTCCTGGGGGCCAAGCAAGCCAGAGCCCCACTTACCCTTGCAAAATGTGAAGGAGCTGCTTGATGCCACCCCATATGCGGATTTCCACACTGGTTTCGGGGTCTTCACACACCTGGACCAGAATCCAAACGACGCTCCAGAGTAGCTTTAGGTGGTCAGAGTGGAGCAGGCTGAGCAGGACAGGAATGCCCTCAAAAAGCTTCACCTGTTCCTTCACCTGGGGCTCAGCACAAAGCAGGCGCAGGAGCTCTGCAGTAAGTCTAGCACCATGGGAGTGGGGATAAGAATCACACCAATTCATTGTGAGTCGACATCACACAGACTTGAGCTGTCATCGCTGCATAGACTATAACTAGTTCTCTCTGGTCACCCACTTCAGCCAGACCAGTCCAGACAATGTCTAGCAAACTACTCAGTTTGCCAAGATGGTATGAAAGCAGCCTAGGCAGTACATGGGAGTGAACAGACATGAAAGTGTTACAATAAACCTTTATTTACAAAAACAAACAGCAATGACAGCCTGTGACTCTGGCTTGCCAAGTGCTCTGCCAAGTTACTGTTCCCTCACTGCCTGGTTAAATTCTACTGACCATCAGGTAAGGAGTATGAACCATGTGACCTGACAGAAGAATTACAGAAAGCCTCATCTAGGCTTCAAAGTCTTGGTATGTATGTATCAGGAAAATGGCTCAGTGAGTGAAAGTGCTCACTGTTCAAGCCTGATGACCTGAGTTCAATACCAAGAACCTATGTAAAAAAGTTGGGTGTGGTGGCACTGTAATCCTAGCATTCCTACAGAGAGCTGGGAGGTACAGACAAGAGAACACCTAGATGTTCCAGGCCAGCTAGCCTGGAGGCATGCACTGCAGTGGAAATAAGAAGAGAGATACTACCTCAACATGGTGGAAGATGAGAACTGATTCCTTTGACCTCCACTGGCA